AAAAAAAAAAAAAAAAGAAAGAAAGAAAGAAAAAAGAGAAAGTAAACTATTCCCTATAGAACAGGATAATATGGTGATGATAAGGCTTCGTCTGGGTTTGCTTCACCAGAGATGGTCAATTGACAGTAGTTAAGGTGTATCTTGTTATGTTAGCAAGTTAGTTGGAATGGCCAACCGTGGTTAAGTCGGTAAACTAGAAATTATTGGTGATGGTGACGAAATTTGAGAACCTGTAATTTCTGTACTTTTTGGAATGGTATAGCTGAAAGCTTTATATATAGAGAGAGCTTATAGCTAAAAGCTTTATATATAGAGAGCTTTAAGATATCAGATGGTTTTGTATTTGAAATTTGAGTTCAAAATTGGCAAGTTTTAATATATCATGTTAGAAGCATTGTTTGATAAATTCCCATAGCCACGGGTATACAGTATTACCAATTATAGATGGTAATTACTATATTAGCAAATATAATTTGTATATGAAATATATTGAATCAAACATGAAAAATAAAGATTAAAATGACCATATTCTTTTTAACTCTAATTTTCTTAACAAGAGAAAATTAAAAATTACATCTTGTTTAAGTTAATATTAACCTTTTCCTTTCCTTTTATTTATCTATTTATTCATTGGTGTTTGTTTGATATTTACGTTTTACACCACAATTCGATACACCATTTTTTTTCGATATGGAAAAAGTCACTTGTACAATTTTTTTAACGACATTTCATGTCCATGACGTGGCATGATGTGTGGCATGATGTGGATGGTTGAGATGTAAATAAATGTATGACTAAGATTTGACTCAATGAAATGTTGTCAACTATAATTGTACATGTAGCATTGTCCACTATTAAATTCCAATCACGTGAAGTTCAGAAGAATTGCGCTTTAACCAATCGATCATACATATATAACTCAAGGAAAATGTGTCGACACGAATAACAAGTCAATCACAAAAAACTCGACTATGATACTACACGGGACATACACAACTTTGTTCATCATCATCACTATATACAAACAGTTAACGACGAACAAAACCCTTTTCTATCAATAATTAAACAAGATGCCCTTTTCTATCAATAATTAGGCATCAAAATTCGGAAAGTGCATATCTGGTATCTGTTCATATGTCGTCCAGAATAGCGTTTAGGAGCAAACCCTGCAAAAACTCGCACCTTTTTGCCCTCTCGTTATCCACATCGGTTGGCAGAGATGGTGGTGGTTTACTGTAATTCGTGATAAATAGATAAACATAGATCAATATAATTTAGATTAAATCACCACATTCTAGAAAATGGTAACGAACTTTGTGCTTATTAACACGTGCACTCGAAAAGAGTAAATAGGAGAGAGAGAGAGAGAGAGAGAGAGAGAGAGAGAGAGAGAGAGAGAGAGAGAGAGAGAGTCGATTCTAATAGGTATCCTCGACACGAGAGAGATGGAGAGAGAGTCGTGTGAAGCAAATAAAAAAACCACCGAATTGCAAGGAGAAAGTAACAACAGCTAGATTGCTACCAAACAGGTTCACAATAACAATGGACAGGGTTCATGAACAACTGAAAAAATCGACACTTGAAGGCATTTACATACCTTTCCTCTATATGATCATCAGTGGAACTTTTTGCTGCCAAGCTCACATTATTTGTACGACGAGCTTCAATATTTTGGAGTTTGCCAGTGGTTTGTGAACTATTAACAAAAGACAAAAGCATAGAATCGGATGCCGCATTAGAGGAGGGACCTGCACTGGGAGTCTCCTTAATACAACTTGAATATTTCTCTTGCATTTCTTTCCTCAGTATATATATAGTCGATCGCGAACGAGCCCCTCTATGCTTCTTATTGCAGAGAGCGTATTGTTATTAGTTAAGGGTATAAACAAAATGAACTCATTTTCAGAAAGCAGTTTATTAGCATGGTTTAAAGTTTTTATACAAAAAAAAAGAGGATATCTTTAAAATACTCTCGTGCTGAGTAATAACATGCGAAGCCATGTTTATGCCCACCTTTGTAGCACAAACAGGACAAATCTGCAGACGAAAGAAACTGCAAATAAGCTGTGACAAAAACATTTATCATAACACTACAAAGCTCAAGAAATCTGCTCTTTTTTCTTTTACGAGTGGACACCCAAATAAAGTACTTACATACTAATATAATTTCTATCCTAAAAAGGTGAAAAACCATGCCTTCTAAAATAAAATGCTACCAAACAAGCTAATAAGCCTCTTTTTCTCTATCTTGTTTTTTTAGGCATAATAACATTGCTAACATGCTGCCAAAATAGTAATTTATCAATCAAATGAACCAAAACATTATGCCCTCACATCAAAATATTCACAATTTTATTGCGAGGCTACCTAATGACCAGACAAGTCGATTCATCATACTATTTTTTATTTTACTAAAATGCATACTTAATGATGTAAAAAAGAAAAATGCATATTTGCAAGGAAAAAGAAAAAGTATGGTTGCATAAAGGGTAGGCTTGTTTAACATAATCCCTACCGAAAATATTTTATCCGAACTTCCCATTACACAGAAGTACTCATTTATTTTTTCCACGGAAAAATATGATTAACCAGAAAGCAAACAAACAAATCGAAAAATAAATTCGACAATTTACCCCAGGTTTAACTTCCATTCGGTGATCGGCATCAATGTGGCAACACAACCCTAGAACATCAAAATCCTCGAGGCAAAAGGGGCAAGCCAATTCTTCACATTTCTCGTCAATTTCCAAATCGTTGAACTCGTCTCCTTCGTAATCCCCTTCTTCTGTTTCCCCTTCCTCCTCATTGTAATAATCATCTAACACAAAACAACACAGTCACAATTTGTTTTTTGTTTTTTTTTTCTCAATGGAATTCACAAAAACCCCACAAACTCAACCAGCACAAAGACTCAAAATTGCAAACAAAATCACGAGCTGCATGCCACAATTTGCTTTTTTTTCTCCGGAATTTACAAAAACCAACAAATTCAAACAGCGTACATATTCAAATCTTGAAATAAAAACACGAGCTGCATGCGAGATTCAGGCACTCACTAGTACTCCGAAGCGAATACGAGGACAGCGCGATTTCCAGATCATCGTAAAATCGATCGCCCATTTCGATTCAATAGATAATTATTCGAGTTAAAAAAAAAAAAAAAAAACACACAGACCTTTGTAAACAGAGAGAGGGCTATCCAGGAGCTCGAATTACGGAATTAGATAAAGCAAAAAAGGGGGGAAATTGAAGATTACATTATCCAATTAGGTTTTGCATATGGTTTTATTTTGTCCCTCTCTCTGTGTGACTGTGTGTACGCGAGTCTGTGCAGAGGTTGAATTAGCGAGAAAATGGGCAAATTGTAGACGATATTAATTGAGAATTTTTGAACGAGTTTCGGGTCGGGTTGAAATACGGGTCGTCGACGCTCGGTACCCGATTGACTCCCGCGTTTTTTTCAACTGCGTTTTGTTTTTCGGTTTAGTTGTTTTTGTTTATTGTTTACGGAGTTAGTTGTTGGTAGTTTGTTACTTGATTGTTTTTCTATCAAATATTTTATTTATTTTTTATTTGTATGATTTTATTAATGCCATGGATTTCTATTTTCTGTTCTCGTCTTTTTTCATATCAAATGGTTTAATCTACTGCCACAATTTATAAGTCGAGTCGAATATTGCTTTATTGAGCTGAACTTGATTTTTTTCTTTTTTTTTATTTTTTTTATTACTGCTGCTCGAGCTAGACTTATTAAGGTTTGACTCGGCTCATCGAAATATATTAATGGTCAATGTTGACTCGAGACCGACTTGATATGTCCAGGATCAACTTGAATTTTCAATTAAAACAATTTAAATTTGTTGTTTTTATTTTTTTCTCGAGTTAGGGGTATTTCTATAAATAACACTTTACTAGAGTTGCTAGTCGAGCGCTCAAACTTATATCATACATGCTCAAGCTCGATTGTTGTTCAGTCAAACTTGAGCTTTCTCAAGCGCTCACGACCCGCTCGATTCGTTTGCAATCTCGGAATAGAACATAAAAAATTAGTAGACAACTTGATTATATTAGTTGGGATGATATTCTTGGTCTTTTTCTACCTTATTATTATTTATTTGCAAAGTATCTATTCTTGTCCTAAAAACACTAAAACTGATATGATTGTATTTAGGTTCATATCTCCATTCAAAATCACATGTCAAACTAAGATTATCCTCACTAATTTTGGGTGGCTCCTTGTTGGGAGCTCACATTTTGGGCCGCAGTAAAAATTCCTGGAAAAAAGTCCACAACAAGTTGTCCTTCCAACCCATAGTGCATATGAGCCCAATTACTCAACCCACATTGTGTACAGGGCTGATCGTTTTTTTCAGCACTCCACGAGAAAATGTATCACTTGGATTTAATGAAAAATTACGATTATATAACTAATAGATTAATTAATTTAGTCCAACCGGTCATTTAATTTTTTTTTTTTTTGGCAAGAAAAAGTAAAATAAACGAAAACAAAACCAACTAAGGTATTTTAATTCTTAAAAGTAAACTTTCATAATAATGCTCACCTACCCACGGTGGACACATGTTAATATGTCCACCGTTTATGTGGCATGCACACATTGATGATGTTAATATGTTGAAAAAAATACATTATCAATGTGTGATGTCACATAAACGGTGGACATATTAACATGTACCCATCGTGGATAGAGGAGTATTTTCCAACTTTCATTATCAATGGCTATTTTTTTATTTTAATATGGAAATGAACCTGGCCATGTGTGGTGCCAACGGTGAGGGAATCGGATTTCCTTTTTCAAAGCTTTGGACACTTTGTACGAAACAATGAAATTTTGGCTCACTTCTCTAATTAAGGCCATTCACATCAAAATCAACACATAAATACAATATATAGTACCAAATTTATTTGTTAATTTATTTGTATGATTTATTTATATTGTTTATTAATGAAGTATGAGATCACAAGACACCCGCCAAAGCACAACTGCAATTTGCCAATGAATCCCGTGGACTTTCTTCTTTTTGTATCTATCACAACTTCAAAACCCAAAAAAAAAAAATAAAAAAAATGTCTAAAATTCTTATTGATTTCATGAATTTATCGAATATACGGTGAATTTTACCCTCGTGCCCACGCTAGTTTCAAAATCGTCAGATCAACACACATCCACATTATTTTGTGCACATGCGATCTGACGGCTCGAGCTCTGATGTGAGAAGTGTCCACAGCCGTAGGATCGAATTCTTGTGCCACATTATTTTTCCCCATTTATATTAAAAAAAAAAATGTTGAAAAGTAGCACAACTCTTTTCATGCCTTAATTAATACAGTTGCACTACCGTGTGCCTTGGCACACCTAGCTAGGTGTGTCAAGGCACAATTGCACGCGCCTTTCACTCTCCAAAACTAGAGAAATTAGGAGAGTGTAGTGCACATCCCTAATTTTTTATTTTTAATTGAAAAATGAGACATAATACATAAATTAAAATATCATTAATTATTTATATTAAAAAAATAAAATAAAAATACCAAGATTCATAATTTTTCATTATCTATAAATAAGGACCACATTTGATAGGTTTTTGAACACAACTAATTTTTCGTTTTATAATATGTTCACCTTATTGTGTATGTAACATGTGCATCTTATTTTATAACATGTTCATTTTATTATGTAACATGTTCATCTTATTCTATAACATGTTCATTTTATTAATGTAACATGTTCATCTCATTTTATAACATGTTCATCTAAATTTCATCTGTGAAAATGTAACATTTTCATCTTATTAGAGAGAATTTTGGTTTGTGAAGGTGGAGGATATTCGATCGAAAGACTAATTTATGAAATTTCTTTTACATTTTACTAGTTTTTCACTTTCATTCCCAATAGTATGACTAATTATTTGCGCTATTTCTATACCCCCACAACATAAATACTTGTCCCTTTTTTTTTAACAAAATAAATAAATAATCATAGCAGAAAATAATTTCAAAATGATAAATAACAACAAACCTACAAACAAAAGTTTAATTGTCAATCAGGCCAATTCAGGTGGAATACACAGAAGAAAATTTACTCTAACCGAAGGAGTAATGCTATAATTACATAATATTGTACATAAAGTTGAACATAAGACTCACATTGAGTGGGACCTACCAAAAATAAAAAATTAATTAGACCGAGTCCATGTGAGTGTTATGTACACCTCTATATATATTTATTATGTACTTGTAGCATTTTCCTGACGAAATATTAATAAGAATTCCACAAAATAGAAGGAACAAAAAAAATTGAAAATGCAGTATAAAGCCCAAAGATCACAGGCTGAAATGACTAAAGTAGTTGCTAGTGGGCCGACAACATTGGGTCGTCTCATGCTTTGGGAATCCGTCAGTCGAGCTTGTAATTAATTATTACTATTATATGCATTCTTGTTGTATATAAAAAAAAGTACAACCAGCTATGGAAACTCTTTCTCGAACAAAACTAGCTAAATTTGAGTCAGTTGAGTCCCAATTTCATGTTCATTATTCACACATCATATAATCCAAAAATGTGAAGCCCAGTTGAATAATAATATGGTTCAAAATAAGGGAGATTCTATGATGACGTTACGGAACCATTCCATCGGAGTTTGTAACTGTTAGATCAACTATCCCTGACGATTACATGATAATCTAACAGTTACAAATTCTGATAAGATAGTTCCGTAATAGGACTGTAGCATTTCTCCAAATTCAAATCAAACCAAAAATTGATTATGAGTTATGAGCCACATAAATAATAAGACACAAACACAACTAAAATGTGATAATCCTTCTTCAAACTTTTTTTTTTTTTTTTGTTGCAAGGGAGAGAATAATATTGGTTGAACAAGAGTACATTTCCACCACACCAAATTAATCATCATCATCATAAAATTACACAGTTCTGAAAAAGAAGGAATTAACAGCTAAAAAAGAACAAAGAAATAAAAAATAAAAAAAAAATTAAAAGAGGGTAACAAAAAATGTGGATATTATTATATGAAGGAAAAAAAAAATCATCACCAATGTAGTAATTCAATTTAAAAAATTCCAGAAAATTAAAAAATACAAAATGAAAAAAAAAAAATCAGTCACTGGACGATTTTACCGGCGAACAAATCGAACGGCGCCCACAGCAAGTCGAGCGGGCATGGTTGCTTCGAGTCGAGCCGCAGCCACGGCTTGCCGCTGCCGCTCCAGTGCAGCAGGCTCACTGGACCCACGTGGAGATCCCTACAGCTCCCCTTCACGTTGTCCCCTCCCAGCCCGTGCTGGTTCCATCTGTGCTCGATCGGCGCCACGTGTCCAGCAAACACCAGCAAAAACGGCGGCAAAGAGCCCAGCTCGTAGATCCTCCGCCCAGCGCTCGTCTTCTGCGTCTCCATCCACGACTCGATGCGCCTCGAGTACCCGTGCCGCCTCCATTTCTCCAAATCGACCACCATCACCCCCGTGTTGAAGTAGCACGGCCTCCGGCCGGCGAACACGCCGGAAAACCTCGGGTCCGACCAGAAGTGCTCCGTGAAGTATTTCGTGAAGTTGGCGTGGCAGTACTCGGGGACGCCGATGGTCTTCGAGCCCAGGCTCGTCCGCCATAGCTTTGACACGTCGTCGACCACGACGAGGTCCGAGTCAAGGTAAATGACTCGGGTCACGCAGGGCTCGAGGAGGTCCGCTAGGTAGTTTCGGGCGTAGTTCAATGGCTGCTCGAGCGCTTGCCTGACGGAGGTCGAAATCAGGCTCCGGACTCGCTCGGGATCGAAGTAATACACTTTGAATTTCAATTCGGGGAAGGTGGATCGGACTAGGGTTTCGAGGCTGGGCTCAGAGACCAGGAAATGGAAGAACACGCTTTCCGGACACTCGGAGTGCTGGAGAATTGAATGGACGGCGGCGATTGAGCCGCGAAGGTACTCGACGTCGAGGGTAATCGCGACGTGGACGAGGGACGGGTCGCAGACGCCGGATTTTTCGGATTTCAACGGCGGGCGGCATTTTCCGCCATTGCGGAAAACGGGAGATCTCCGGAAGGAGAATTTGTCGGCGGCGGCGGCGGCGTGTGGGGACGACG